TGTGTCAAAAATCAGATAAAAAGAAAGTCAGAATTTCAAGAGGACATCAGACACATATGTAGGATATTTCCGAAATCAATGATTGGTGAGATTCCCTAAACCCAAAATATTACAAATTAGGTGATATTGTGAATTGGGTTAATCTCATGCCGATTTTCGGCAATGTTTTATAGTCTACAAGAATGTAATGTTAAGTACCTTATAAAACACGATTAATCTACTGAAAATGAAGACAAGACGCCAGCAAAAATTCCTAACTCGTCAGTCCTGTTCAGTTCAGCCAACGGCAAAGACGCCTTCTTTTAGAGCCCCTGATCTGTCACGACCGTTCGTAATCTATAGACTAGGTAACTCTATGGGGCATAATCCTTGTCTATAATCTCACACTCGCTTGATTGGTCAAGAAATTCTAGACGTTTCGTGGAACCTGAAAAGTGATCACAAATGTCCAGAGTCATATGACTCGAGTTGACACACACATTAAAAAACTATCGTCAAGGCGTAATTACATTTTATTTTCGTATTTTAGCGGATACTCTGGTTTAAAAATGGCCGTTTAGCACAGCCTAACGGCTGCTCAGAATTGTTCTGTGTCCCATAGTGTCATTGTGATGACTGCTGTCACCGAAATCATGCAGATGGCATGCCCCTCTCACCACATTGAGATTGATGTGACAGCCCCCCCTCACCCCACCCCCTGCTGCCTGTCACTGAACCAACGCTCACTTGGGGAGCCAACCTGTTTTATGCCACAAACAGATAACGCTAAGGAGATCACGTGTCATCATGTCTTTAGCACCCAAATGTACAGTGACAGATCAACGACAGCTCCTCTCTCTCTCTCTTCGCACTGTTTCAATACCCACGTCGTTATTAAACACGTCCAGACAACTATCATTTCCATTAGAACACAATTGTCCAACTTTTAAACCCACGAGTCATACGGCTTTCTAGGCGTTCTTTGAGCAAAGAATACCATGTCTGTCTGTCACGATTTCCCTAGGAAGTTGGCAATCTCAAAACTTCTAGTAAGTTTCCTGTGGTCTGTCTTTGGTTAAAGCAGCTGGCTCATTACAGTTCAGGGCCAAGGTTCACGGTGGAAAAAAAACAAACACTGGAGGTGGGATCAATAATAAGCTTTCTCCCATCGCTTCTACGAGAGGCGGCGGCCACTAGTACATTCCTAAACTGCAACTCTGGAGAAGTCATTTTCTGTTTCTGGGAGAACTGAGTGGCCTCCAGCTGCGCAGTCTGCAATAACAGACATCGAGTGCCTGCCCACTGGGAGCGAAGGACGCCGTCAAGAGCTTGACTGACTGGCAGACAGATGGATTGTTTTAACTGGCGTACGGATGACGGATGGATAAAACCATAGTCTCACAACTTAAAGAATCTTATTTGGTGCGTAAATAAATTGAACAAATTTGCGGAGAGCCGAAAAGGGGTGGTCTTGCAGTTTATGACTAATAAACGTACACAAGGCCTAGGACGTGTATAGATTCTTTAGAAAGGCCCATTTGAATAAAATTGGACACGTGGAATTGTACATACCACTTAAAAGATAGACACGTACACTGCAGAAAATATTTAAGTGAATCATAAAGAAAAAGCATGTGACGATATGAACCACAGTCACCTGACTAGGACAGGGACCGGTGGTGGGCTCTTCTGAACACGGCGGGTAATCTATTGAATAGCTGAGCGACTATTAGCTTCTCATGCAAATAATTAGAACTTAATGTATTTTAAACAGTTGATGCAGGTAAAACACTGCAACTATCGGTCTAACGTGGTAGTAAGGTGGCTTTACAGAACTCCAGATATTCCAGACCATCAATATTCTGGGTGGCAAATCACAGCTTGAAGATCAGCAACGATGACTACGGATGTTTTTCTTCAGTCCCTCCGTGTTAACTATGGAGATATTATATGTTAAGTTCTGTAAATTCCTAAACTCTACAGCTAAATTAATAATATCACACGAATATTTTATATCCAATGCATTTAATGTCTCTCTCGACCCACAGAAGCCTTTGCGAACGCAGATGCTGGTTCAGAGTAATCCGTTCCAAAACAGATTTTGAAATATAATCGCCCGTAAACTTTCCAGACTTGGTGATCCACTAATCCCCGCGGTTTACGCACAGCAATTGTACACGTCTGACAGGCAGTTTCGAGACTCCCACTGGTCAAGTTTGTGCAGGGCCCCACACTCAGCGCTGTATTCAAACACATACAAAGTGGGGTTGGGTTTGAAACATGATTGCTAGTTCTAATACAGCCACAACTTATCGGTTACTGAGCACACAAACTCTGCCGGACCATTGCTTTACATACCACCACCCACCCGCCCTCCTTCAAACTCCCAGCTCTGTGTTTAAATGCAAAACCTTTAGTCTTCAAATACCAAAGCAAAACCCGGCACTGTATTTAGACGGAGTGTTCGGAACATAGAAATTATCGATTACCCCCTACAGATCGATTTTACACACGACAGAAACGTAACTAAAAATATCCTCCAGACAAATTGGAGTAACCTCCGAGAAGACATCTATCCAAAATTAAATAAACATAAATGTTAAAATATGCTAAACTGCGACGTTACAGAATATAGGTATCGATAATGTACTTGTACGTCGTCATCAATATCATTATAATAGGCGTAAGAGTGTGTCTTTACAAAGACTTTGGAAAAACTAATGAACAATTACTCTACTAGATGGCACTAGCAGTCAGCTCAGGATTGAGTAGAAATTGCGCAGTCAGTGAGTGGGCTGGTCAGTTACTACTCACAAATGAACACTTCAAAGACTAGGAAACCTTCAAAAAGGAAGTGGCAGAGACCCACGGTTTGGTTGTAGAGCCAAGGAACAGGAACAACAACAACAACAACAACAACAATTAACTTTTACTACGGCGAATAATTCTATAATTACTGTATATAATCGTCCAAACACTTTTTTGTTCGGCTATAAACTCTGCGATAGATATAGCGTAGTTAAATAATATAATAAACAAGAATATAAAGCCTAAAGCGTATCAAACAAGAGAGTACATACAACAGAAATAGATAAAACTAAGCAGCTTTTATATTCCGGACGATATAACGGTTTAAGCTCTTACTTTCGCTCCATGAAACGAGTTTTATCCTACATATTTCAACTCCTGTGGTGCTATAACATGACAAATTATTTCCTTCCCTCCCTTTTCTGTTACGTCATAAGAGTTTTTTTTTAAATTTCTGAATCGTTGCAAATTTTATGAAGGGTAAAATGCAAATCACGCTCAGTAACTGCCATAGACTGTTTTGCTGGAAGCTGTAAGTAGGTAACATTCTTTATTATCTGAATGTGAAATACAAAGTTCCTTTATTCTTTACGCCCAGTTACAGAGAAATTTGCGCTGGATGCTGCATTTCACAAACAGTGAACAACACTTGAGGGTTTTTTTTTATTCCTACAAAAAGAAAGTGTAAATATAAATCAAAGATATCATTATACGGGACCGTAATTAAGATTTTCAGTACCTCGTACGCGTTCCTTGTCTGCAAAACTGATATTTTTAATGTCAGGGGCTAGTTTTGAAGTTAAATGTGCAAACGCGTAAACGCACGCGGACAGACAAGTTCCTCCCCAAGAAAATTAAGCATGAAATAAAACAGTCAAAAACCCAAATTGCATTGTAGAATTCGAAAAGATAAATAAAGACAATTTTCTTCTGAATAAATACAAAATCCAACAAAGACATTTCGTATTTCGCTTACTGTGTTTCAGGTCATGAAAGAAGTAAGAGTTCTGTTAGACGTATTTAACTGGCGACCAAATCTGGTGGCACCTGCCCTGATGATGATGAAGACTACAATCAAGGAGCAGCAATACACGGGGGGAGGGCGGTAATGTATACGAGAGAGAGGGATACTCATTATCCGACAACATGGAACGACATTACAAATTATAATTTTCGAATGGCTTTCAGCAGAAATGAGGAAGACAGCACACAGACAGAAAATGTAGCGGAATGGCTATTAAAGTTAATACTAGGGTATGCCCTCCCAATTCTCTTCAACACGAAATGAAATACTTCTTCTGTAGCAACAACCTCGATTAGGTAACCTAGGCGTACGTGTGAGAATAATATTAAAATTCCTATTTTAACAATATATAATTCTGCATTTTACCCACAAGTGAATTTATGGGGTTTGTATGATTTAAAGAACAATCAGTGATTATATCCTTACACAGCATTCACCAATTCATCTTTTAATCCAGATACGATGTTCGATTTGTGGCACATTCCGAGTTCTTGAAGGCAGTAAAATTATCCTTTTAAAATATACAGCCTTTTAAGAGCACAATCCAAGGTCGCACTAGAAACACATAAAGTAGTTGTCCCACTCTTGACCTTGGCACCAGATGGGGTGAGTGATCAGCATGACGCACCGGCCACGCTTTAACCCCGGTAACCATTGGCTATGAGGCTGGATTGACCCCAGAACCGACCCGGACGCAGAGGCTAGAGGAAAATTTGTCTGCCCCGTCGGCGATCAAACCCCGGTCATCCAGTCCGTAGCCAGTCATTATATTGACTGAGCTACGTCTACTAGGAAACAGATTCATATACCAGCAGAGGTCACGCAGTGTTACTACGGGAAAATTAGGCAAATCCCAACATCTCTTACAAATCTTTATTGACTGAAAGCCCTACCATTCGATACATACGGAATATAGAAAAAAATATTATCCCTAAACCCCAACATCTTTACCGAGACTCGAACCGAAAACCATTGTGTTTGTAATCTGTTCATACAAAAACTTTTGTTTTTCTCGTATAGCAATGTAATTGAGATTTTGACAACCAGAAAATGTGTCAGGAATATATTGCGTGACTTTTCGATCATCCTATATAACATTACACAAGTACAAATCAGATATTCTGCATACACTAGAAACATAATTCATACAACATGCAGGCGAACTTCGATTTACCGCCATTTGTCTTACCTGCATGCATGTGATGTCGTTCACTTGGGCCTCATGGCCGAACAGAACATGGAAATCTGCTTGTCAACACTATAACACGATACTGTTTGTGATTTACGTTTATATCGGAACTAATTTTCTAGGTTCACTTTTTATAAAATATAACGAGAAATGTCACATAGTTCAAAAAAAAGGTACGTAGAACTAATGCCACTGTTGATTCACTCTTGCAGGTATGAACACGTGTCGTCTTTTGTCTGTAGGTCTTATGATTCGTGAAGGTTCGGCTTCACGTTGAAAAATCCGGAAACGTGCGAGATCAAAATAATTGTAGCAAGGCAGGGGTACTATATAGTAAGCACAGATAAAACGAAGTTTATGTTAATCCCTCGACACCAGAATGCAGGGCAAAATCGTAATGCACAGATAGCACATTTGCAAACGTAGCAAAGTTCATATATTTGGGACCGACAGTAACAAATCAAAATTTGATTAACGAGGAAATTATAAGCAGATTAAATTCGGGAAATGCTTCCCACCATTCTGTTCAGTACCGTTTGTCTTTTCGTCTGTTGTTTAAATATGGAAAGATTAAAATGTACAAAACTGTAATTTTGTTCGTAGTTTTGTATGGGTATGAAACATGGTCTCTGACATTAAGGGTGAAACGAAGACTGACGGTGTTTGAAAACAGGGTGCTGAGGAGAATATTTATACCTAAGAGGGTTGAACTACTTGTAGGCTGAAGAAAGTTGCATAATGAGGAAGTTCATAAGTTGTACTCCTCATCAAATATAATTACACTGATCAAGTCACAGATGAGATGGGCAGGGCATGTAGCCCACATGGGATAGAAGAGGAGTGCATACAGCGCTTTGGTGGGCCCAGAAGGAATAATATTAAAATGGATCTTAGAAGAATAGGATGGGGTGGTATTGACCGGATTCATCTGGCTCAGGATAGGGGCCAGTGGTGGGCTCTTCTGAATACGGTAACAAACCTTTGGGTTCCACAAAATGTTGGGAATTTCTTGAGTGGCTGAGCAACTGTTTGCTGTTCACGAAGGACTTGGTTTCACGGAGTAGTTGTAGTAGTAGGGGTACTGTATTGTCACAGTTGGTGTAACACGACTAAAGCCGTGGGCTTGGTATGGTAGCTACCCTCATTACCAGCTGTATTACTGCAACCACCATTGCAATTGCTTTCCAGACTGATAGGAAGATACAAGTGACCCTGCATCCCCCACCAATAGCAATTTGTACTTATGTCTGGAACATTTGAGGGCAATGCTAGGTGTCATTAAAACCCCCTGAAGGTAGATTTCTGAGTACCACTTGTACCTCTACATTTGGTTCAAATAAAACATTATGATCTATATTACACTGTGTTTCCCTCTCTGCAGTCACAGTCAATACAAAGTTATCTACAATATATACTGTCAAATTTTAGCAAAATGTAATGCAAAGCATAGTGAACTGAAATGTCGGCATCTTACACACACACACACACACTTATAGTGTCAACACCCAAAATTATGACAATATCAATAAATCACCAAGACAGCTTAAAATAATTTAATAATATATTTATACACAAGGTAACATCTTCATTAAATTTTCCCATACAACCAGTGTCCAGAAATTTGAGTTTGCTGCTATACAAACATTTTACAAGTTGTATTAAATTTTGTGTACAATCAGTGATTTGCTATTTATTTTAACAACAAAAAATGAAGTAAAGTAGCCATTTTTGTGACAAACAAATGCCTGGATTCTCATCCTTGGGTTTTCAGGGCGGCTGGAGTTCAATGTAAAACTTCAGACTTCTGGGATTAGACATACTGAATGCTTGCATCTGAAACTATTTACAAATGGACCCTAATCTCAGAAACTTGAATCCAAATATATTCTTATATTAAAAAAGAGGAAGGGTGTCATAAATAATACATAGGTAAAACTTATTTTAAAGGAAAAATACAACTTTTGGGGTTCTGAAGCCATGTAGTCCTGCATATGGTTACCAGTTTTTCAGAGGAACATTTAGTTTCCATTTTCTACCATGAAAATAGAGGCAGTATGTTAATCTGAAACATTAGTAAACACTCAAAAGAATGCAACCCAGAATACCATAATTCACATTTTCACTGCTCAAACAACCTCATATAAATCTCCAAAATAACTGAGAACCAGATTATTAGTCACTGAGACTAGTTTGAAAACCAAAAAGTCTCAACCAATAAAACATTTACAAGACATACAAGTAAACTCGTAACTACTAGTGTCTACATGAATATGGCAACTATAAATTAAATTTAATTACAACACAAAATTATAACACAACTTACTCACTGATGAAGCAAGTGTATATCACAGATATTCAAGACTGTAACAACAAATGTGTGAAACACTGAACTATAAACATAGACAAACCAATTCTAAAGCGTTTTGACGACAGTAGTTTACACTTAAAATTATTCATTATCAGGACTTTTTCCATCGTCAGTTCTTTAAAATCACAACGTTTCGGAGGCCGGTTCTGTCTCTGTCTGTCCAGTGACAGAGACTAGCTCTATCTAAGGGACCCAACACAGTAGGTACCTCTCGCCTGAAGACGGAGACAGAATCAGCCTCCGAAACGTCGTGATTTAAAGAACTGACGATGGAAAAAGTCCTGACAGTGAATAATTTTATAGACAAACCAGTTTCAAACTTGAAACAAAATACTGATTTAGAGATATTAAATCTGTTGTATCAGACAGGGGGTAAGACAATGGTGCTCCCTCTCACCTGTACTCTTCACTGGGTATATTCAGAAAGCTTTACATGAAATGAGGGAAAATTTAGGGCAGAGAGGAGGCATGAAGATCCAAGGAGAGGGGATAGATATGCTCAGGTTTGCTGATGATATTGCAATACTAGCTGAGAGTGAGGAGGAGCTGGCGGCAATTGTGGAGGAAATGGACAACAGGCTTGTAACGAGATACAATATGAAAATCAATAAGGATAAGACAAAAGTGCTCTTGTGGTAAGTAGGCAAGGTACTCAGGCTGGGGTGACTCTACATGGAAGGCATCTTGAGAATGTCAAAGAGTTTACATACTTAGGAAGCAAAATAACATCTGATGGATGGAGTAAAAGAGACCTGGTGAGCAGAGTTAACCAAGCAAAGACAGCTTTCAATAAGAAAGGGAAGCTCTTCACATCTAATAGCATTAACATGGAGTTAAGGAAACATCTGTTAAAGACATATGTGTACAGCGAGTTCCTTTACGGAAGTAAGACCTGGACGCTCGGGGCGACGGAAAAGAAAAGAGTCAAAGCTTTCGAGTTATGGTGCTACCAAAGAATTTTGAAAATACCCTGGATAGAAAAAGTGAGTAACGAGGAGGTATTGAGAAGGATCAGAGAGACACCGTGTCTGATAGAGCACATGAGGAAGAGATTAAACAACTGGATTGGATATATCATTAGGCATGAGTGTTTGCCAGCTTTCATCTCGGAAGGGTCTGTGGAGTGAAGAAAATGTAGGGGCAGGCATAGGTTGGACTACATAGGGCAGCTCGTATGTGGAGCTGAAGAGATTAACACAGGTCAGGAACCGGTGGAAAGCTGCTGCCAACCAACCGCAACGTTGACAACCTAAGAAGAGAAGAAATCTGCTCCTATTCTCTATTTAGAAAAAGTGCCACTTCTTTGACCATGACCTGCTTAGAATGTACATAGGCTTTGGCCTCCCACAGCATATTAACCAGTTTTGAATCGTTTCTTTCATCCATTGGCATGTCTTCTGACATCTGTGGAGTGAAACGATAATATGGCACTCCAACCATGGAACACCATGCCCTTGCACGATCTACTACCCGTCCATCACTCGCTGTGGCCTAAATGAAAACAAGAAAAATGAAAATATTGTGAAATGGTAAATTAAATTTTAACACTCAGCTACTCCACAGTATAATTAATGTACACAAGAAGCTGGGCAGTGAAGAAACAGACACACTTTATATATTCATCCAATTGTGCTGTCACTTACTTCAAAACTCCATAATATCTGTTATTGTGGCCATTAGCTCTCCCACATTTAACAGAAGTATACTTCAGTGTTCAGATTTATTCTCAATTTAATATGAAAAAGACAAACTCCACTGTGACGAATTTCTAGACCTGCTCATAGCTGGTGAGAAACGTATTTTCAAATTAACATTTCCCACATGTTCATGGATAGTTCATACTCAGTTTGAAATTATGCTCAAATACATTTTAGAAAAAATAATTCAACCATATATAAAGCTAAATGCAAACAACCTGTGATCCTAAAGGTATAACAATACATTCTCCAGTCCATTACTGATTTAATATAAAATACTTTAGTAAGGTAAGAATATAAAAACTTACTTGATCAACCAAGAGCTTTCCAATAGTAGATATACCATAAGCAAGTCGAGCCGTGTCCAAAACATTCTCTGGACGGAACACATCAATCTCCTTGAGCTGCATGAAGCAACAAATTAATTTACCTTATCCCCACATATCTGTTCCAACAGGTCACTCCAAAAGGGTGCCTCAAATGATATGTCCCTACCTAAAACTTTGTCCTACACTTCAAACAAACATAGCACCTCCATTCTTTAATTACACCATCTACAACCTCTTAAACATGATACTTAATAAGCAATGGGACTCCTACAAACAATCTAAACAAAGAGCACATATAATGTCGAGACTCTCACGATAACGGAAGGAAAAGATTCAAGACATCCACGTAATTTCCTAAATACAATTACAATTTGACACCATTTGTTCAAACTCAATGAGCATTCTCTTCATTAAGAAACAAATAAGCAAGTTTCTTTGAAAAGTGTATATTTACTAAGTTGGTCAAGAAATTACTTTAATGGAATGTAAAAGTTGATTATTGAGTTTACAGAAGCCCACCTTTGGACCCTATCCTAGCTAGCTGAATCTAGCTCACATTTTCATATCCAATTTTTCTAAGGTCCATATTAATATATTCCTCTATCTATACCTAGGTCTTTTTCACTGAAGATTTCCAATCAAACTGCTGCATGCACGTGTCATTTCTCTCATCTAATCATCCTCGATTTAATCACCCTAACAACGTAAAAATTATGTGATTCATTATGTAATGTCTTCCACCATCTTTCTTAGATAAAATAATCATACCAGCAGTTAGGTCTCAAAGACCCTCATTCCATTTTATTTATTTAGAGGGAGACCAAAGGAAGTGTAAGGAACACAATATTATACCCACCTGTGTAACTGGAACCAGGCCTGTTCCCAGAGAGACCACCACAGTAACAGGACACCGCTCAGAAGATCGCCCAGTTGCTTCCAGAGCAAGGTTATATTCATGAATCTCCGTCATTGCATCCATTGTCGGGTTATTCGCTATCAAACCTCCATCCAGGAAACGTCCAAAAGCCCTGTAACATAGAAACTAACATACTTTTACAAGAAAAATATTATTACGTGGTATCCGTCACTGAACTATAGAGCCAGGCCAATGCTAGGGAAAAAGATTAAAGAAGGGCACTTCACGAACACAAAGTCACAGAAGGCACAACCATGAATGGGTGAATCACAGATATACACAGGTACTAAAGTGAGGATGAGAAGAGGAGAGTTGAAAATGGTAAGGATGGGTGATCAACAGTTGAAAGCAAACCCAGAAAAGGTCAGATCTGACAGCAAAGCCTCTGGGGACAACTACCAAGGAAAGTAATCTTAAAACTTTGCATACCGTGTAGTGTATCAAAATATAAAATAAGTAAACAAACAACTATTAACTCACACCCACAATTCTGGAATTCACAGGTACGGACGACGCAACCACAGCTCGCTGCAGACCAGCTACAGCCACCGGACCAATGGATCAATAGCTAAGTGCAGAGTTCAACTCCTGTCAAAAACATCATCTAGCGCAGTGTCTCTTGAAATACTTTTGTTAAATACCCTATTCATTATTTATTTTCTAAATCCAGTTTAAACCATTAGATTAAATGAATTAATTTCCCTGATGCCACTGATGATGACCTATTGGGGTTGAAATGCGTATGGCAATAGTGTCTTTTTTATAGTGTTAATAGTTGTTTGTTTACTTATTTTATATACCAAGGAAAGCCCTCACAAGGACCACAAGCAGAGGAGGAACGAAGTGAAGTATGAACCGCAATGGCAGGTTTATGTTCCTTCTGGGTACAGATGAGAGGCTCCCATGGCCTATTCAGGGAGGAGCCACAGTCCCTGTTCAAGTTGTTGGCATGTAGCTTCATCTCTGGTACTTCCCTAATGATCTGGTCTATGAGTCTAGACCATTTTGGCTGAAATCCTGATATTTTCCAGCTGGATGCAATGGAACACGTTCATGCTGTGTTTGGCCAAAGCAGGCTTTTCAGGGTGGTAGAAACATATGTACTAGTTATGCTCTTTGATAATTGTTCAAACTGAACATACAGTCTATCCAATCTACACCTTCCCACGCTCACAGGAAATGCTGTATACACACTGGCATTTCTAGGGACAAGTCGTCCTTAACAGGCTGAAGAAAGATGGATGGCTTTTTTTGGTGGGAGGCCCATGGTCTTCATGTTATGGCCCTGTAAACCAGGGTAGAGATAGCCTGCTTGTTCACTGGGTGATGAGACAGCATTCAGACACAGGTTTGTGTGTGTGGACTTCCTGCATAATTTTATTTTCAGTCTCCTGTGAACCTACAAGTCATACAACATCACAACCTAATAGACAAACATGATCATGCATAAACTGTTTTTCTAAAATAACAAAGTCTTTGTGTACCAATTCAGACATACCTGAAGTACGAAGGGGCTGCACCGGAGGCACGAGCTGCTCGCCACAACAACTGATTTTCTGGGCTAAATGTGGGCTGAAACATGCCCATCTCTTCCACACCTAACAGACTGCCAGGTGACCGATAGTTCCGGAACATGTGGAGTTGCGCAGGCTTGCGGTCTGCCAGAACCCCTGTGATGATCACTCTAAGAAAGGAGCAAGTTGGTAAGTTGGTTATGAGATGGAATGGCCAACAACTGTATCAAAAGAGAATTATTACAATGCTCTGTGACTCGATCCTAATTTGAAAGGAATCGCCATCATTACGTACCTAACAGATGAATTATAATTATGTAAATTCAATATAACAATCAAGCTTGTGAACATCAAACTCATCTTTTTGAATTCCTCCAAAAAGCAAAAAATAAAAAATAAAGCTGTCTCACTATACACCATGTAGACACTTAGGGGGAGAGAATACAGCTCCTTCTCATTCTTAACCTTGGCACTAGGTGGGGGCGAGTGGTTAGTGTCACGCCCTGGGCACGCTTTACTCCTGGGAAAGGAACCCAGTACACATTGGATAGGAGTCTGTGTGGGCCCCAGAGCCGGTCTAGGCGCAGAGGCTAGAGGAAAAATCCTCTGCCCCAACAGGCATCGAACCCCAGTCCGTAGACAGTCACTATACTGCCTAACTGCCCCGATTCCTCCAGAACACAAAATCCTGGATCATTTGAGTGATTTCTCACCTATTGTACTCACAATTCAAAATTAATCTTTTCTGCTAGCAACTTACTTGGGATGTTTGATATCAGTCATCACAGTGTCTGTTCCAAGAACTTCTTTAAGAATGTTTTCCAACGGTTCACTGTTGTAAGGCCGTCTGCCCACGAACGCGTGTTCCTTCATTCGGAAATACAGGCACAAGCATTCCATGAGACTTTTACCTATATCAAATATTAAGAATTATTATTAAAGCTAAAGATTTCCAATTCATATTTGTACAACAAAGTCACAAAGTACATTGAAATAATTTTCTTTGACAGAATTCCCCTAAAAAAATAATCTCCCATGCATACTATATGTCCTGCCCATCTTATCCTTCTTGAATTGTCCATCCTAATACAGTGAAGAATACAAATTATGAAGCTCCTCATTATGCAATTTTCACAACCTCCTGTCACTTTATCCCTCTTACATCCAAACACTCTCCTCAGACCCCTCTTTTCACACACCCTCAATCAGCGTTCTTCGCTTCAAGTAACAGATAAAGTTACACACCCACACAGAATAGTCGACAATTACAGTTACGTCTATTTTTTAGCAGATGGAAAGACTAAAGATTCTGAACTGTGTGGCAGCAACCATTCCCAAAATGCTGCATAGGGTTTCAGAGTTAGGAAGAAAAGTACATACTATTAGTTATATTTTTCCTTTAAGTTCAAACAGTTCACAGTGCTATTGAATATGACAAATCTGGTTAATATAATTCAACCATCAAATCTGGTAAGTTTTATTAGTAGGGTTCGGATGTTCATGACCTAAAAAACCGAGAAATATGCATGCAAATATGCCCCCAAAAATAGCGAAATATGACCTAATTTGTTATGAACAAAATATTCACTAAAATTTAATAAAAGGCGTTTTGTATTTCAATCATGTTATTTATTTACATATGCATGTACAACATGCATAACATTACTGGATTTCCTAGCAATTTTAATCAAAAACCTCAGTCGCTTTAAGTTGTAAATGCCTCGTTTTGGATCAGCATCAAATGTTGAGAATATGTGCTCCTATAAAAATAAGATAAATTTTAAGAAACAGTAGATGCACTTAAAGAAAATATTCGACAACTGATTTCGGGAATTTCCCAAGAAGAGACGCGCACGACTCCCGCCCACATCAACAGGGTGCCACACGATCCAAGCACGACCGCAGCCTCATAAATTGTAGACACGGTATAACCAGAATATGCATTTAACTAAAAATATGACCAAAGACATAAAAATGACCTAAATATGCATTTATATGCAAAATAAATACAACCTAATTGTGATTAGAATAACCCAATTAGTGTTTAATTTCAGTTTCGAATGAAAATAGAAGCCCCAGTAAAAATATGACATGTCATGAAAATCCAAACTCTAGTTATTTCCAAACATATAAGAAATGTATCTGACCAGAAGACTAATATAATCTGTGCCAAAAGTAGAACCTGCAGCCAGTGCCAAGGTCAGAATGCCACCAGTACTTGTGCCTGCCATCCAATCAAAGCATTGAGTCAATGGACGTCCTACTGCCTTCTCTAGCTCCTGCAGAATCACAACCAGGATCAGTCCCCGTATGCCACCTCCATCTAGGCAGAGCAGGCGTCCTCCCTTTGTACGCTTCCCAGTTGTACCACTGCATCACAACACCAATCTATATTTTTATATTTTCTATTCAAAATACTATATAAAATTAGTTTGAATACTCATAGATATTTATTTCTTCTATATTTGATGTCTTAACACTTTCTATAATGCATTTTATTTTTAAAAAAGCCTTTACCTGTTAGTACATTTCCATGTTAGCTTATCTTTATAGGGTGAGAGTACACTTTCCCATGGTGAGTATGGAGATACCTGTCTTTTGGGATGTTACACAGAGTAATGTGGTAAACACTTACCAGTCACCCTGATGATACAGATTTTCCCTCATTTAAGATTCAACTTCAATTATATCAAGTCAATAATCTCAGTGTTAAATTTATTGTTTAAGGTTTAACTGAGATCACCGCTGTGAAAAACTCAAATCCTATATAAGGTTTAATTCATTTTAGTGTTAAAAACTCTATAAAGAGGAACCTAAAATACAGATACCACAGAACTGACAGTTTTTGGACTCGTCCATCATCTTACATTCTACAAATAGATCACTAAGTTTCAATAGCAGTATCTGCTACCATCTTCAGGTGAGAGACATCTACTTTGATGTGTCCACTAAAGAGGGCTAATCAAAATCACTAGTCCACTGACTGGGATTTTGAGACTCTTTAGTATCTTACAAACATGCTGCCAAAATTGTAATATATGTTTTACAGTTCTTGAGATATACACAATTTTCAAATTTGTGAATCATATTCCACAGTCATTCAATATTTGAAAGCTCTTTAAAAACACAGTCCAAGTGGCTCAGACACTGACGACACAAACAAGAACAGAAAAGGGTGGATTAAGGAAAAGAAAAGATATACAAAAAACAGAGTGTATCACTAATAATTCCACTGAAAAACGTTACCTGGTGGCTGCAACGTTCATGCCAGCAACAGACAGCATTTGGTTCAAAATCTCACGTGACTCTAAGGAGGGAGGAACAGCTGGAGGAATGCCATTATAATTGTTTGAGGAACCTTCACATCCTGGATTGCAGCCCTGTGTGTCAAGCGAACATCTTGGAGCTCCAACAGCATGCAGAACATACAGGATCCTATCACCATCAGATCCAAGCACTATACCATGACGAGGAGTTGCCCCTCCATTGTTCCTGACCAAAAACACAAAATATTCAAATCTTTACTTACATTATCTTATAAAGTATAGAAAATTTGGTTTAATTTTTGTATGTGTCTGTACAGAAATTACAGCAGTATAAGAAGCAAATTAGTAAGGATTTAACTGTAATTGTAACCTATTCATGAACTTCAATGTATGTTCTCAATGCTTTGATGTTGATCCAGCTCTTGGATGATGGCACCATGTGGAAGTACATTCTTCTGAAAAATCAGCAGTACAATCCTCTAAAACAGGCAAGTCAAATTTGTAGCCTTCCTGAAAAGTTTTATGCAGCCTGGTCCAGTTCTCAAATTATACACAATGTGCAGCCCCAAATGTCATAACTTTAATAAACTCTTAAGTCCCAAATGCATGCCAAACAGCTACTTACATTCCATCACTTTATTTCAGTTAAATAATGTGTAAATGTGTTTCATTGAAATTCAAATTTGTGTGCGCTTATAGGAAAACTGAAGAACCAAATTATCTCTTAAACTTCCACTTGGAATTAGTTAAGTAAGTGGATATGATTTCCGCCTCCTACGTGATGGCCCCGCAAGAATCACCTGTTTGTAAGCAGCCCTTAGTAGACACCGAGTTTGGCGTGCCTGATCTGAAATGTCAGCATCATTCCAGCACTCAAAAGCAGCATAACATCAATACCAGATCACTGCGAAAGCTTAAAATAAAAAAGGTTTTGGACTCCTACTGATCAATATTAATATTTAACAATGAATTTTTAAATACTTCCTATAAAAATATTTGCATCAAGCAGGGCTTCCAAATGAAGTTCCATATGCATTTCTTATCTCTTCCACATGTGCTACATACCTCATCTATCTCATCCTACATGATTTGATCATCCTATATCTGGTGAAGAGTACAAATTACAAAGCTTCTTGTTATGCAATTTTCTCCAGTCTCCTGTTATATCCTCCGCCCAAAAACACTACCACCATTCTCTACAATCCTCTTCAAGTCTTCAATTTTCTCAGTATCAAACAATGTTGAACCAACTGCTCAGGTCACTGAATAGGTGCAAGAATGGCAAGGAAAGCAAGGATCGCAGCCTATATACAGCATTTTCTGAAGTGAGAATCATATTTAGAAGATTATCTCTTGAAAATACATCACAAATGTAACCAATGCCACAAACTGCAGAAGGGCCATATTCTATAATCTGTTATTTTGAATAGTAACTTATAATTTTTATTCCTCATTACACAAACTCTAATATTCAACAGATCTTAAAAAGATTTCTGTCTTCTGGGTTGTTGTGCTGTGTAGTCTGGTCGATGTAAACCAAAGTTTCAGAGGTCATACTGCCTCCGTCATCAGGGCAATTCATCGCCTTGATGACGGAGGCAGTATGACCTCTGAAACGTTGGTAAACATCGACCAGACTACACAGGGCAACCCAGAAATCTTCATATTCAGTCTGTTGATGGAGGCAGTATGACCTCTGAAATGTTGGTAAACATCGACCAGACTACACAGCTCAACAACCCAGAAGACAGAAATCTTCATACTCACTGCTGTGAAAACCTCAAATCTTACAGATCTTAAAAACATAAACCATTTAAAACTTTCCTACATCCTCTAATTAAAGAAAAGTTAACACTGTTAAGTATTCATACCTGTAACTAACATCTGCTCCAAATACAACAAGGGCCTGAACAATAGCAAAACTCCCTTGTGTAACTGCCAGGTGGAGCGGTGTGTTGCCATCGTGATCACTGATGTTGGGATTTGCTTCATGACTTAGCAGGGCTACAACACACTCCAGACGACTCCTCACTACCATGATGTGAAGAGCTGTACGTCCATCAAAATTGCGTGAATTTATATCACATCCCATATTTATAAGAGTTTCAATTACCTCTCTTGAGCATGACCAATGGAGAGGCGTGCCACCAAATTTCATATCCTGAAAAATGTGGGTACAAATATTACTTTAAATCTGATCAGCCTTACAGGCTTGCACCTCATTAAATATTAACCATATTGAAAAATATTCCAAATAAATTATAAACCTACACTGCATTTTATGTCATGCAAAATTTTTTTAGATGACCCATTTTTGAGTAGTCTGATGAAAAAGTTTAATTTGGCCTTCAACATACAGTTCTCTTCAAACCTCTGTACTTTTACTAACTCCCCCCCCCAATCAAACAACCCATTAACCCAATCAGTTAACTGATATTTTCCGAAGTTCAAAAATCTGGCAAAACAGCATCACAGTAAATATCACTTGTAAACCATCCCATAATTGTGAATCAGTTTCACTTGAAATTGGACACTACGAAGTTTGAGGTTTTCATACCTGCGAGAATAATGACGTTCTTCCACGATGTGTCACTGTATAATCTTTGTTTGAGAGAAACATCACAAAACTGTGCAAACTAAACATACCTGAGTATGCAATTTGTTGGACTTTTCATGCAGGAAATCCACAAATCCTGGGGACACAGTAGATGATGAGGGGGAATGTACACTTGCTTGAGAGGCAGAAATATTCACATCTGCTCCAGCAACCAGGAGAGCCTTCACGCACTCCGGCTTATCTGCCAGGCATGCCACATGCAACGGCGTGTGTCCATTTGAATTCTGACAGTTCAGGCATTTGGGGGACTCCGCACTCAGTGCCTAATATAAAATGTATAATACATATATTTGAACTTGGTCTTTTCCATTAAGGGAAGAGCAATACTCGGAGTGTTCGAGAATTGGGCGATGAAGGGAATGTTTGAATCGAATGCGAAAGAAATGACAGGAGGCTGGAGAAAAATTACATATGTCAGATCTCCATGATTTGCAGTTATTCAACAAATATTTATTCCAAACGTAATTTAAATCAATATGAGATGGGGCTTTCATAACAGTGAAAATCTGGGCCACAGTCTTCGACGGTATTATGCTGAAATATGGAGGTGATAGGTTTCTGCAAAACTTTGGTAACCACAAGAAAAGACTACAAAATTGTCATAACTCAGATTACTAAAATTCCAATTAATTTACACCAGTTAATTAGTTTAGAAAATACAGACCACAATGTAAAGTTTAAAATTATAAAACTTTGTGAAACAGTACACAGACTTTATTAATGTACATACATACTCAGTTCTGAAACTTTTATTCTATATATATATATATATTATAAATAAGGCAAGCCTTCCCATGGCAATTAAATGAAACAGGGGTCTTCTATGATGATGTAAACAGAGTCTCTGAAATGAAAGTTTCTTTTCAGCAATGATGTTACTTATCACCTAATAATAATATCGAGCGTTGCAGCTGAGTAGTTAAAAATCCTGTGTAATATCTGGCAGTCCTGGATTCAAATCTTGGCCCTGACACCAGCTATCCTGACTGAGATTTTCAAAGATTTCCTCACTTCCTAAAGTCAAATTTTATGAGAGTACCATAAAATTATACTATGACCACTTTCTTCCATAACCATTACAATTAATTAATCACTAATAATCCTATCATTCAACACTACAGAGTATAAGCTACTGATAGCATTGTTAAAAAAAGAAATTGACATGAATAATTATTCATATAAATAAGAATTATTTTCATTCTTATGTAAAGCAGGGCTTATAAAGGATCAAGATGACTAAAATAAAATTTTCATGACAAGTTCTTCACAAGCTCCATACAAATTTTGGGACAGAAAAAAACGTAAGGACAGATACCTCTCACTGTCTTTTCATTTTATGCACTGAGCGGAATCGCTCTACATGACACTACATTTACCAAAATTATCTCAGTGTTGGTGCTGGCAGCATAATGGAACACAGAGTTGGCCTCATAATCAAGATGATCCAGTGAAGCTTTGGCACTCAAGAGGGCCTGAACAGTTCGAAGACTGCCTGTCTTGATGGCTACTTGCAATGGAGATATGCCAGTGTTAAGATCTGCTGAATTAAGATTGCTGAAATCAATTCAAACAAATAATGCTGACTTATAAAAGATTAACATTGTTTGTAACATATTTATAAAGATTACAGCCCCCTGCAATCTCACAGAAGTTGAATAATGTTTCAGAGGTGCTTACTGCCTCCATTATCAGGGTACTGACTCATCACCCTGCACATAAGCACCTTGAAACATAAGTCAACTGCTATGAGACTACACAATGCAATACCCCAGAAGCCTCTCAACCTCATACTCACATCCATGAGAATCTAAAATCTAACATGTATAGTTATAATTCAAACTAGCAGCAAAATGGTTATGGTTAGTCAGTATAAGTTCTCTTTCTTCTTTGAATACGACTGACAAAATTAATTGATTCTGATACTAGAATGTGCCAGGTAAGCTGCATTATTAAAGTGATGAGCTGACTGACCGAAGTCCAGTTCCCTAAGAGAGGCAGAGACCATTCTCATTGCCACATCCAGACTGGCTCAGGGACCTATTTTTGTCTCCTATCTGGGGTTCCCTCCATTAGGGAAAAGCAGTGGCTGAAGAGTGAAGTTAACCTACCACTTACCTTCATATACTTCTGAAGTGCAGAATGTGTGTAGATCCATCCATATATATCTTCACAGCTTAGAGCTTATATTTACTTAACCTTTTGAATCCAGGGTGTGATGCCCCCATCCAGTGCTAAGGTTAAGATTGAAAAGGAGCTATACATTATCTTCTCCCCCACCCCTCCACATGCCTACATGGCTTTACTTTTTACTTTTCATGAAGCAGAAGCACATACAAATACTATTTAATAATTCAGTCCGTACCACAAAGAAAACACAACACTTCACCTTTACAAAGATCAAATGGTTAATGCTGTTTAAGGAAGTAATTCCTGTTTACATCGAGAATCACATGAAAACCATAAATACAAAACGAAGAGTTACTGAATGTTGAACTGGAACATACGAGGTGCGATCGGAAAGTTTCCAGACTGTGCCTATAAAAACCCGTACACTTATCTCAGGTATTAAATTCATCCATCACCCTCGAAGTAGTTCCCCTGGGAGTGAACACAACGATCCCAGCGCCGCTGCCAAACCTGGAAGCATCCCTGGAAATCTTTCTTTGTCAGCCTGTCAAGCACCATCTGCGATTCTGCCTGAATCTCTTCTATCGTCTCAAATCTCCTTCCCTTTAGCTGAATTTTCATCTTTGGGAAGAGGAAGAAGTCACACGGAGCTTAGAAAGGAAGGTGGGGTCGGTTCTTGCAAGATCTTTAAACTCCTGACAAACGAGAAGTCGATTCTGCTTCTGGGCCTCATCATCGACAGAGGTTCGGTCATTTTTAAAACGTGAATGCCACACAAAAGTTTGCGGACTCCCCAAATGCTTGCTTTAGCATTTCATAGGTTTCCGTAGCCGTTTTGGCGAGTCTTTGGCCAAATTTGATGCACACGCCATTCCGAAATCGCAGGAGGGTCGGTGTAATGCACTACCAAAACGCCCGTAACTAAGAAACAAATGCTAATTCGATGATGCCGGCTGGCACACTGATTCACTATGAATGTAGGCCGCACCCCCTAGCGGCAGAAGCTCGTACTACATCCGGTTCGCCCTCTATTGACACAGTCTGGAAACTTTCCGATCGCACCTCGTATAGTTACCACTAGGCTTTAAAGGGGTAATATATGTGATATTAACATGTATCATCATAATGATTAACATCGTTATCTCTTATTTCATAACTTCTAAATACCTTGCGATAACAGGATACTGAAAGGTGTCATGAAGTGACAAGTACGAAGCCAAATGTGTCACTGTCCATGTAGGGTTCTCCTGCAAGGCATCACATAGTTTCTGGATTCCACCCAAATTACAAACCTGAAAACAATTGGACAGTACAACAGTTTTGTAATGAACAGAACCTTACTTAATGGACTAATTTCAACCACTTACTAATAGACTAGGCCCCTAACCAAATATAAACCAGCACAAAAATATAAAATTTCTTAATACATATAGTAACAGCCCGGCAAAGTAAACAGTACAGAATACACAACACGTAAACCAACATAATATAATAGAATAAACATTTATGCTGCAAATGAATTCCAATATTATGTGTCAGACTTGTAAATGAAGACAATATTAAGGAATTTATAACAAAACTTAGTGACGAAAATTGACACTCGGTATTAAAACGCCATGATGCAGATTCAAAATTCAACATAAACCTGAATATATTCTTAAAAATTTTGAAGCAAATTTCCCCACCAAAACAATGAAAAGGACATCTGAAAATAATAAGTGAATCTCTAAAGACATCAAACCATCTTGAGATCTTTACCTAACACTGTCAATCCAGCAACAACCAACTAATGAAAATTTCCTACAGGTGATACTGCAAGATACTCAAGTCATTAAAGAGGTTAAACATATGCATTACAATAAACAGATACAAGAATTAAATAATAAAATAAAAGCAGTCTGGAAAATAGTAAAAAAGGAAACAGGAAAACATTCTGCAGAAGACGTAACCCCATTAAAAAAGACAAATGATAATGCAATAGAAAATCCTAAACTCTTCATAAATCATTTCAATACTTATGTCTTAACAATTGTAAAAAGAATGAACAATGACACTAAAACTATAACAGAAGAAGCAATAAAGTACCATGCTCAAGCAATCCCTAAAACCTTTCCAAACATAGAACTCATGCCCACAAGAGTAAATGAAATTAAAAGCACAATAAATTTTCACAAATCAAAATGTACATGTGGTTATGATGAGATATCAACATATTTAATCAAGAGCTGTGCAGACTACATTAGTGTTCCTTTAACTTATCTTTGCAATCAATCAATGGCAGTAGGAGTTTTTCCAGAATGACTTAAATATTCAAAAGTTATGCCTCTATATAGAAAGGATAAAAAATTGTGCATATTTAACTAAAGACCAATTTCGTTACTAACAGCTTTCTCTACAATATTTGAAAAGGTCATGTATAAGAGAGTGGTCTTTATAAAACTTAAACAATGTTCTTGCAAGTGAACAGTTTGAATTTAGTAAAAGTCTCTCAACTGATATAGCCTTTTTCAATTTTACAGATAAAATCTGAAGTGCTCTTAATATTAAAATGCATGTTAATGGAATATCTGGTAATCTTTCTAAAGCATTTTATTGTGTAAATTATGAATTATTACTGTCAAAACCACATTTTTATGGAATTCAAAATATTGGTGGTCTGTGGCTTACATTATACCTTCATAACAAAAGGCAACAAGTAGAAACAAAATCATCACAAACAAATACTAGCACCTATTCAAATTGCGTCATTACAAAACATGAAATTTTGTACTACCAACAAAAACTGGTAAGCTAGGTACAGAGTATATGGATAAAATAACTGAAGAAGTAGAAACAACTAAATTTCTAGGCCTATAAATTGACAGCAACTTAAATGTAAACAAATTTTATTCTATTAAAAATACTGTACTGTGAATTGCTAATTAGTAAGAAGTGAAAGAAAGTCATAGCCTCTACTATATGCACAATCATGGATTTCCCAAGAACACAAAGTTACAGGGCAACATCAATAAATTTTGAAACCATACCTAATCATCTGTATATTTATCTGATAAAATACTAACCTCTTGTGAAATTCCAACAAGAACTGGTACTTTCTCCTTCAATTGTAAAAATTTAATTTCCACTTCTTGAAGGTCATTTGAACGATATAAGCTGCAAAAAACAAACACAGAGACTTGTAATCCACTTCTTAAGCACCGACTCTCATTAAGAAATGCTTGGCCTGACAATGCACGGGTTATTATATGCAAAAAATACACACTATTATTAATGATCATTTAATCTCTTCAATGTTTCTTTTCACGGATTTCTTGAGTTCGCTCACTACTGTTATACACTCCCAAGGATTCCCATGTCACTTTTTATTTGCATGAAGGGCTTGACCATTGAACATACTGCCTCAGTCCTCGGAGTTTCATACTAAACCCTAAAAATTAAGGTGACACATTCCTATGAAACTCTGGCTGGTAACCTCCTACACAACCACATAGTCACAACCCATAAGACCACATTCCACATTTTCACCTACAGAACATGTTTTGTTTACTATGTATAAATAAACCCCTAATTCTGCAAATGTGTGTAGATACCATACTTTAAGAATAGAATAGAACAGAATGTATTTACATTCCACAGATCCTTCACAGACCCAAGCCAAGGATGTAGAACATTTCATATCACAAATACATTGTTCATTCTTCCCATAATTGTTAAGAAGTATTGAAATGATGTGCTACGGGTTTAGGATCTTTTATTGCAATACCATTTATATTTATTGATGGGGGTCACTTCTTCGATAGAATATTTCCCTCCAATTATCATGATTACAGGAAATGATCAGACTTATAAATGAAGACACTATTAAATAATTTATAACACATCTCAGAAATGAAAACTGGACTCAGTATTAAACGGCCATGATGCAGATTCAAAATTCAGCAAAAACCTAAATATCATCTTAAAATTTTTGAAGCATGTTTTCCCACCAAATCAGTGAAAAGGATATCCGAAAATAATAAGTGGATTTCTAAAGGCATCAAACCATCTTGTGATCTTTACCTACATTGTCAATCCAGTAACAACAAAGTAGTGAAAATTTACTATAGAAGATATTGCAAGATACTTACTCAAGTCATTAAAGAGGTTAAATGTATGCATTACAATAAACACATACTAGAGTTAAATAATAAAATAAGAGCAGTCTGGAAAATAGTGAAAAAGAAAACAATTTATTCTATATTTTTTACAACTAAAAGTTGTGCATCATGATCAAGAGAGCCCATTTATACGCATACATACACAGCCATGAACAACGTAAAATACGACATTCTTAGCTGTATGCGAAAATAAAAAAGTTACGATACATTACACTAACCTAGACTAACCTGAAAGCTTGCTCGAAAGTTTCAGTACAAGGCCTCTGAAGAACAATTTCGTATTTCTCCTTCGAAGACTTCGCTATCCTAGGGCCATACAAAATAAGTGCATCTTCTCGGCAGTGAACAAGTGTATCGCTATACTGTTCTGGTTGGACAACCAAAACTTTATTAGGGTTTGATTCTTGTCCCAGTAAACTTCTAAGTATTAAACCAGACGTTTTTCCCAATGCTTCAAGCCAAGCCATTTCATCAATAGTGCACTGAAATATTTGAAACAATTGAACGTTTATCGTTTCCACTTTCACAAATATGAACCGTAGCGCATCAACGCCTAGACGACAATGTCAATACGAACATCACAGATACCACGCAAGCAATATATGAATCGTGTATATGACTGTTTTACCATCTCGAAATAAAAACAAGAGGGAACATAGGAATAACACATTTCCCTAAGATTTACAAACACTAATAATAATCATTATGAATAGGCCTGCAAGTCGTTCAGTCGCAGAGTTGAAGGTTGCTTCTGAATCACAATGTGCCCAAGACCTAATTTCTAGTTGATGATTATGAGGATAAGAAATTAGATAAAGATAACACAGCATGTATTAGGCATTGAGACCGAATGTTACAGAGTTTCCATCGCTTTAGAAGTCTTCCTAAACATAATTTTTCCTTTTGGTATTTTTTTATTTATTTTTAAATCCTGTTAGTCAAAGGTATGTTGTTTAAGGGTGGTCAGAGATCATGCTGTCAACGCATTACTTCCAGTTTCGTATACATTGTTATTTATGAAATTTGTAGTTCGGTCATAAAGTAATTTCTTCTGCGTTTCGAAAGCTTGTATCCCGCATCTTTTTTTCTTTATGATACTTTTTTGTTTGGATTATTCCTTCCTCTCCATGCTCAAATTGTCCCAAACATCTAGTAACAAAATAGTGCCACTGAATCAGTAAATGACAGTGACAGGAAATACGTCATGATAAATTGAGAAAAACTTTTTTCCTCCGTATATCATTTTATACAATTGCATATAATTTTGAAGTTCATAGTAAATTATGTCAGCATTTAGATTGTCTATTACAATTTCCTATTAAACTAGTACGTTCAGCAGTAGGGACATGTTTTCAGTTTAGGTTGCAATATTGAATTGCTAGCTGCAAGTGATTCTATGCTGCAGGGTCAGTAGCGATGATGATGATGTGCAGCTGTAAATTGAACCACTAGGAATTGTAAGTTATCTTTTGTTTAATAAATTAACTTATATTTTCTGTATTATTCATTTATGTATTAATTATGAAATATTTAAAAATGCATGATACGGACGTTAGTAGGCCTTTTGGGGTATGAACTTCCATGTTCTATACCTGCTGTTCTGTTGAAGACGAAGATTTTGTTACGTCATGTTTCCGAAAGAAGTTTTCAAACATATCACTTTTAATTGAATTTATATATGCTCATATTGAATAATGTCTTATTTGAGAGTGTGTTATACAAGATGTAAGACGTGACTATGAACTGTAATTGCGTTTTATTCTTAACTGTGTCATTAGTACCATTCATCTTTTTGTCATAATGTAGTTGACATACTTTCAATCCTCGAAATGATGGAAGATCTGCAAGGAGCGGACATTTGCCGGGTGTGCCGCTCCGAAGGTTTACCAGACCGGCCTCTGTTTCATCCTTGCATATGCACTGGAAGTATTAAATGGATTCATCAAGAATGTTTGGTACAGTGGATGAGATACAGCCGCAAAGAATATTGCGAGTTATGTGGGCACCGCTTCTCCTTTACACCAATTTATTCTCCAGACATGCCAAGGAGATTACCTCTTCGTGATGTTGCTGGAGGTTTATTATCAAGTGTTGGCACTGCTGTCAAGTATTGGTTACACTACACACTAGTGGCACTAGCATGGCTTGGAGCTGTGCCACTTTCAGCATGCCGGATTTACAGATGTCTTTTCACAGGCTCTATTGACTCGGTACGTACCATATTTCAAGATTCATAATGTGCAGTAACATGCCAAGTAACTTGGAACACACACATTTGAAAAAAACCAAGCATTATTTTCTATCTTATTTTTAACAATGTGAAAGCCTCATTTTGTCTGGAAAGAACTTCATATTGTGGTGACAACACATTTCAGCCACTTTAATACATAACTGCATGATGTAGGATTTGAGGTTTTCATGGCCACAAGTATGAAGATGTCTGTCTTCAACTGCATGTTTTACAATGTCAAGCGTGTTGCAGACCTACCATAAACTAACATTGAGCCACTTACACTTCTGCATGTTGTCTTCTAATACAAAACACAAAATTCATGATTATAGAGGAAGTACAAACACATCATCTTGTAAACTAAATGAAAATAACTAACCTTACACAACTTTACCTGTCAATAAATTTTTTATTTGTCATAGAAGTATAAAAATATATCAATTTATGACAACTTTAAATGGAGACGTGTTATTTTTTCTTTTTTTACCAATGTTTTGTGGACCATTATGGCATCTGAAACAAATATTAAGTTGGTTATAAATGGCAGATTCAGAATAATGGCCTATTTTAAGATAGTGTCATACATTTCTCCCACAGAAAGTAAGAGAAACCATCAGATTAGTTCAGCATAATGACTTGTTGCAGATTCTGACCCTGCCACTCGACATGTTGTCTACAGAGAACGCCGCTTCAGATGTGTTCCACGGATGTTTTGTAGTGACTTGCACATTGTTTGCATTCATTGGTCTGGTATGGTTACGGGAACAGATCTTGCATGGCGGTGGTCCCGATTGGCTTGAAAGAGAAAATAACAATGCTCCTCCACCAGCTGGAGACATTCTTCCACCACATCCACCCCCACCAAATAATAATAATGTATTGGAACCTGACTTACAGCAAGGTGTAAATCAAGTAAGTAGATTCACATAATCTAGGTTTTATGCACATAGTGAAAGCAGTAAGTAATGGAAAGTATATTAGTAAGCCTCCTAAGTTTTAAACTTCTGGTCCAAATTGTATGCCAGCATTTCTAGTAGTGCTGATGTAACTGCTATTCACTGTGACTCGACTACAACCTTGTCAATTAGACAGAGGATGACACGTAGGCTAGGTCATTGGCCTTCCTTCTCGACACTTACATAGGCCAACTAGACCTAATACTAGAAAGGATAAAGATGTTAATGACAAATGCATTTTATAATGATATATAATAGCCATTATTAAAAAAAATTGTATGGTTTTTCCAATCTGTAATCTACAGGGTGGGTGGGAAGTAAGTAGGCATTAAATAATCGCTATAGGTTTTGTAATATTAATGCAATCATAATGAAAATAATGTGTACATATACGTTACGAAATAGGATTTCATAATTCGCGCGTCAGTGGTGTGGGCAGTGGCCGAGAGAGGCAGCACGCACAATATAGAGGTTATAACCATTTCTCAATGCCTACTTACTTCCCACTCATCCTGTAGTGAAGAACTGAGTGTAACAGCTCTGTTACATAACATCCAGATCAGGATACCTAGAGGTCTATGGATATGCTCAGGTCTGCCTTAATTTTGAAGCCTGGCACATTATAATGCATTTCCACTCCACTTGCCAACTTTTCCTCTGATATTCAGTATAAACTCACAACTTTGTCATAGCTGCGTAACCAACTGTAAGCAAAATTCTTTTTGAGTATGTTAGTCACTCTCTGTCTTCTGTGTAAACAAAAGTTTTGTGTTCACAAGAGCCTGCTGTGGACTCTTCTAAGTCAGATGAATTCCACAACCTCACACCGTGTTTCCTTTGAATCCATATTAATATTATCCTCCCGTCAATGCCAGTGTGTCTCAAGTGGTCTATTCCATTTAGGTTTTCCTATCAAAAGTTTGTGGATACTTGTGTGCTACAGGAACAACATCCAGTTGCAGCTGCTTTAGCAGGAGGTGTTCTGCCACCCCCTGTTGTTGGTCCAGACTTGGTTGGAGTGGATCCCCTAGAAAATGCTGCTGTAGGAGATGCCGAGGAAAATGAGCGTGGCGCTGGAGACAATGGCGCAGCAGCTGATGAAGGAAATTGGAATCCAATAGAGTGGGATCGAGCTGCAGAAGAACTGACCTGGGAAAGACTTCTTGGATTAGATGGTTCACTTATGTTTCTGGAACATGTGTTCTGGGTCATCTCATTAAATACACTCTTCATCTTGGTGTTTGCATTCTGTCCATACAACATTGGACATTTTGCTGTGGTGGGGTTCAGTTTGAGGGAGCATGTCGCTGCATCTCACTTTGAAGGCCTTGTCACCACTTTATGCGGATATTGTGTCATTGGCCTCTGTCTTGTCCTGCTACATGGATTGGCTTCACTCCTTGGCTTAAGAAGATCCAGAAGAATTTTTGGACTCTGTTATGTCGTGGTGAAGGTAAAGTAATATAACATAAATTGCATCAGCACAATCATCACACAGAATACAGTTATTGCACAGTAACATTGAATGTTAATAAAATGATATTGAAAATTTAGGTTACTTTAATCAAGTGGGCCAGGAGCATTAGAATCTACATTCATTTTTGTATTAGTAAATTTCATTGTGGTCATGAACCTAGATAGTAATATTCTATCTCCATGGAGCCAGAACAAATGATTTTTCTTCTAACCTGTGTGTCCATATCTGCTCAGCTGTATTTATTTCAATCTGTCTAACATCGTTAACCCCATGTACATTCAGTAGCTGGCAAAAGTAATTTTTCAATATATGGGAGAGATATGCCTGCCATGTTACCTGTGAATATTTGAGAATACTGAAGTAATGTTATTTCTTCTTTCCAGGTGTCCTTGTTGTCTGTTGTGGAAATAGGTGTCCTCCCACTAATATGTGGTTGGTGGTTAGATATCTGCTCCTTGTCAATGTTTGATGCAACCCTACGAGACCGAGAGTCAAGTTTCCGCTTGGCTCCTGGCACCTCCATGTTCATACATTGGCTTGTTGGGATGGTGTATGTGTACTATTTTGCATCATTCATCTTGCTTCTTAGAGAAGTATTGAGGCCTGGTGTACTTTGGTTCCTGAGAAATTTGAATGATCCAGACTTCAGCCCAATTCAGGTTTGTAGTTCAAATTAAAATATTATAGCAGAACACTCCCCTCTTCTTCTTCTATGGCCTCCTCAATTCTCCTCTTCCATTCGGTCCTCTGTTAGGTCCGTCTCTCTGAGGCTTCGATTGAGGTTTCGAAACATCTTCCTTTTTATGGTGCAAGGTTGTTGGCCTTGTGACTAACCCCCGACCTGGAGGACACTCCCCTCTTGTGAACCTGGAATGAGGTTCTGCATGACCTTGGCTACCAATATCAGCTATAAGAAGAAAAGTCTTAATCGTAGACAAGGTGTCTTTAGGAAGTAGTACTATCACAGTGAGAAATGTGATGAATATTCTCCTAAAGGGAAAACATTAAGCCCTACTTGTTTCTTTCTTTGGTTACTTGTGTGTATATGCAAGTCTTTTGTCAGCCTGTTATTTTGTTATAATGTCATAATTTAGTTTTATTGTTCCAGTCATGTCACAAGTTCACAAGAAAGGTGCTAGGATGGGGCATACATCTTACAATCTAAAAGGATCTCTAAATCTGTACCCTCACCCACCCTTCAGGCCACATCTGAATATTTCTGTCAGATGGTATAAGTGTTAATTTTATATTTTATGTAATTAGGAAATGATCCATCTTCCAATTGTACGACATGTAAGACGACTACTGGCATCTGCAGTCATCTTTGGAACAGCAGTGCTGCTCATGCTGTGGCTGCCTATTCGAATTCTGCGAGTCATATGGCCCGGTTTTCTACCTTACATTGTGGCTTTGCAAAGTGAGGCACAGGTTAATGAACTGTCACTTGAACTTCTGTTACTTCAGGTGAGTGTTTTATGGCAGTTTAGTATTTTCTTTATTGGGGTTTGGTTTTTATGGTCCCAATTGACTGTACTTTCTCCCTTTTAAGATTCTCCTAATTTTGTATTAGAATTCTGTTGTGCCCTTAGGAACCTTAAATGAAGATTTCATTGTGTTTTTAAAAATTTATACTGAGTCACAAAAGACAAAAGTAATAATTTTATTTCAGATTTTGTTCCGAGATAAGTAATATGTATCTCCCTTTGACTATAGGTTATACTTCCTGCATTGTTGGAGCAGTCACATACAAGGACATGGCTTAAAAGCTTAGTGCGTACTTGGTGTCGAGCTGTGGCTTGGCTGTTGGACTTGCATTCTTACCTCCTTGGGGATGAGGGAGGAGAGCAGGGGCCTGCAGATGCTGCTGGGGCCCCACAGGGTGCTCAGGCCCATCATCAACACCCTGTCAACAATGATCGTGGTGGAGCTGCAGGAGGTCTTGGTGCAGCACATCAGGCCCTCTTGCAGCGGGAGGGGCCAACAGGATTCCAGCCATATGAACGTCCACGGTGGTTCCCTGCTCGTTTAGTGGGTCTCTTGATAGCTGTTTGTGTGACTCTTGTATTTGCCAGCTTGGCTGCTCTTACACTACCTGTCTGGTTGGGGCGTCGTGTTATGGCCCTTTGGCTTGTAGGAGTTCCTCCTCCTGCTCCATCTGTTGTTGCTGCAGTGGTACCTCCTGTAGGTGAAACAGGCGGCGAAGTGATTTCCGCAGGTGCCCGAGTGCATGAACTATATACAGCCGCATGTGGAACTTATCTGTGTTGGCTTGCTGCTCGTGCCATTGCCTTGATGCTCAGCTGGTTGCCCCAGGGCCGGGCTGCCATTCTTGCTCGCATATGTCAATGGTATGTTCTGGGTGCCAAATCTGCTGTTGCCTTCTCACTGCTTCTTGGAGTAATCCCTCTCCTCTTTGGACTTCTCCTGGAATTGGTGGTTGTGATCCCACTTCGTGTGCCTCTTGACCAGACTCCAGTGCTCTTTGTGTGGCAGGACTGGGCCTTGGGTGTTCTATACACCAAAATAGCCTGTGCAGTCACCATGATGGGTCCTGAGTGGGCACTCCGACGTGCTATTGAAAGAGCTTATCGTGATGGAATTCGTGGCATGGATCTGGGATTTGTGCTTCGTGAGTTAGCTGCACCAGTGGTGGCATGTTTTGGTCTGGCTCTAGCTGTTCCATACGCCACAGCATATGGCATCGTACCCCTCGTGGTCACCAGTCTGCATCTGCGTAATCTCATAGCACGAAGGCTGTATCCCTTCCTGCTTCTCATCATGCTGGTGGGTGGCGTCATCGTGTTTCAGATCCGTCAGTTCCGCAAGCTGTATGAACACATCAAGAATGACAAGTATCTGGTGGGACGCAGGCTAGTTAATTATGACCACAGGCGTCACAAGTCGCCAAGTGGCAGTTAGTCCAACATCCAGCATTGAAGTGAGAGAAATAGTATCTAGCAGGTTCATGGTTAGATTAACAGTGACTATTCATATCCTCCTGTTAGATACTCTTCTCTTGACAGAGTTCACTCTTTGGCACTAGCTTAGCACACTGCAATAAATACCAGTGTAGTTAAGACTAGTTTATCCTCTTCCATGATGCAACACTAATATATACTACAGAATAATGAACATTATTGATAATGGTTACCAACTCGCTTGAAAATATACACAGGGTTCTGTTATGGACTTTGTGAAAACTGTAGTAGGTCATTTTTATCATAGTTGTTTCCTGATTGGTAGAGGACCATGTTCTATGTCAAAGTATAGTAATATTTTTAATTGTTGTCTTTACTGTTAAATGGGATTATTTTGTAGGACTGTTAATAGCAAAATTAAGTACACTAATATATCTACAATGTTCTGTCCTCAGATCTTAACAACTATCAGTTCTTGCTCTCAGTCTTTTACATGGCATAATGTGTATTAAGTGAATGCTTATGCAATAAGACTAGGATAGTTGGCAACTGTGTTTTGTTGAACCAGACATGACAACAATCAACACTGAGGCTACTCCTCCATATAAAGCTTATCCTTTATCAGGGGTGGACAAACTCTTTCATCTTCCATGAGCTTTCAGACCTTAAGTTTGTAAGTATTTATAATAAAATATTGCAACACCTGTAAACACAAAATTCTGTTATTTCTATGCACATAATTATCTCTGTGAGGAATGCTTTGTCCATTGGCTCCAATAACAAGCAGTTTTAGAAGTGCTGACCTCTGACCAAGAAATTTTCATCCATTTTTTAAAATATATTGTTTAAATTCCAGAATTTATATCTGATTATAGAGGCAGTGCAATAAAAATGTATATGAATGGAATACATTTGCCTTAAATTTATTTACATTAAATTGAAATATGATGCATAAGGAGAAGAATAATGAACAGCTGTTATGTTTGCAAATGAATGTAACATCATATTGAGATTCCAGTAGTGCTTGTATATTGTGTCAAAATAAAAGTGAATATAATTTGGATCCCTACAGAATTGCCCATATGGCTTACAAGTTTGGCCACCTCTGCTATGTACCCTCCTGCCAGATATGTTATTGTATTGGTAAGTGTTATAAGTATTGCATACATTTAATATGGTCTATGTAGTACTTATTGTTTATACTGCTGTTGGTCAAATGGAATGGTTTGGCCTGTGCAGTGGTATTATTGATGGGACGAAATCTAGGTAAAGGACTGAAATGATTATTTTGAGATAATGTTGGTAGCCAAATAATTAAGGGGGTGCAAGGTCCTTTTTCGATAAGTCGCATTTGTGAAATGTATGAGTGTGACTACAGAAGGGTATGAGATACACTGATATGCAAATTGCACAAGTAATATCACCATAAAAATATTACAATTATAAAAATATTTAAGTTTGGTTGTGGTTCACTTACTGTATATACAGAGACAATTTTGTTATTTTATTTTGTTGTGTTTTTTGGTAATGATATAGAAATTACCCATTATCCAGTTTTCTGAATTGTGTAGTTTTGGTTTTAGAATGTTATGGCATATCATTATATGACCCTGTACATAATACTTGTTTCTTGAATCTGAAGTATAGGAGTACTTAAAAGCATTGCATTGTGGATTGTCAAATATAATTTTAGTCAAAATGTAACTATGTATCACATTTCAGGTGTCTCACAAATTATAATAGCACATGTTGAAGAATAAAATGTACATTTCCTCCTCTTCCTTATGATGCATTCAAATAAATAAGAAAAGACTGTCCTTCATTTTATTTAATTACACATTTCTTTTATGTGGCATGTTAATTATGGAAGCCTTGAGTTGACCACGTTTCAGCGTCATACAGTATATACCATCATTCTGTCTAGTTATGCAATTCAGTACTGAATGCTACTGTATATTCTGAAGAAACCCTATTTGAATTCCAAGCTAAAAGGTCTAGAAGAAAGAAATGAAGAGAATATTTGAACCTAAACAGAAATAACTGGAGGCTGAAAAAAATTCCACAATAATTTTTACTCTATACCAATATAATTCAGGGTGATTAAATCAACAAGGATAAGATGGGTGGACCATGTAGCATGCATGGGAGTTATGAGAAATGAACACACAATTTTGGTTAGAAAATTTAAAGGGAAAAGACCAGCTGGGAGAAGATTACCATGGACCTGAAAGAAACAAGGCATGCTCTTGTAGAGTGGATGCATATGGCTCATGACTATTTCTTTGGGCTCCTGCAAAGACCATAAGGAACCTTCAGGTATCACAAATGGAGAAGAGTTTGAAGTGTGCTCCACTCTATTTAGCTGAAGATTATTATGATAGGTTTTTGTTCTTTGTGCAATTACTCAGGTTCATTCTGGATGTTAAATAGCCTGTGACTACTTCCATGCCTGTTGTATGAAGTTTCCTTCATAATCAACATATCTTGCATTTCATAGTGTGGTCTACTGGGTCATTCAGACTTGTTTCTGGAGGTATATATTTCATGATATCACCTTGTTCATACCTGATTTACCATGATGATGGACACGATATGTTCCTTGAAAAAGGTTGGTAACTACCTACAAGACTACACTGCATCATAATCAGAAGAACATGATCATCCTAGGACAAGGTTACTGGAATAAATAAAAGCAAAAGTTTTAAGTACTTAAATCATAACCTTAAATAGTCACATAAGATTTGGGTGTTATGCATGGACTAGAAAAAAAGAGACAAGGAAACTGGAAGTGATTTACACTGGTTAACACATTTGGTCACATAATGGTAAATCACAAATAAAAAGGATTTAAAATTTTTACTGTGGAAAATTCTTAATGTTTGTTACAAATAAACTACACTTGATATTTTAATCTAATAAGAGAGAACACTACACTCAGACCACACCCACAAAGAGTATAAACCTGAGTAAAACATGAACATATTAAAAAATTAAATCCCACAACATTTAAATGTTATCACATAGTATGTTTATTACATACTTCAAATTTCATCATTACATAACACTTGTCAAAACATGACATACTCTCCAGTCCTTGTGCAATGGAGAGGTTATGATGGTCAGACTGTCAGTTCTGTAACAGAGGTAAGCCTGTCATTGTGTACCATTCATAACCAAATTTGAAGGCAATTGATAGTATTCAGCCAAATGTGACAGTTAAGTTATCACTTCTACGTCAAATTCAGAGGTGCCACGAACTGAAAATGCTGATGTACCTTCTTTTTCTCAGTACCTTCAGGCAATTGCTGCGATTTCTTAAAACAGACAAACTACTTCCTTCCCAATTCACACAATCCTCCTACTATCTGACACTATATAACCTATGAAGCTGAAAAATCATGATCCTGAAGAATCAATCATATTACACAGGTGTTTACTTTTATTATCAGTTTACCTTGAGTTACATTTTTAAGGCAGATTTTCCAACATACATGTGAGAAAGACTGCAGTCTATCATTTGCATTTTAATGACAGACAACATATGGTAATATGAGATCTGACATACAGCTGTATCTAATAAATATTACTACAAAATGGTGAACAGAAAACTGCCTGAGCTGCTTAATTTACTTACATGGTTTTCCCAAACAGACCAGTCTTCATTTTCCAGTAAGTTATGAAAAAAAATATACATTCGTGAAAGAAACATTTTCTATAATTAATTTGTAATTTTTGGATGTTTATATCCATCAATTAAGTTCTGGCTTGTTTTTAGCATACTGGACATGTCAGAAATATTAAAAACATTACATCAATTTTACTAATATTTTTAATTTATGCTTCAATCATCCTATTACTTTTTTCTCCATACATTATATTACAGGGAATTGTCTACAGTCCACTTCCTTGCTTTCATCTTTTCTTGTCCCAATCTCTCACACACACTTGTCTTCATTTCTTATTAAAAATATTTCATATCCAACTTTAAAATATGAATTTGATGCACAAAATTTTATACTCATATGACAGATTCTTACACATGAAATGTCTCAATACTGACTGCAACAAACTTACAAGGGCTCCAGAGTCTCTGTCATCTAAAACATTTCTCAAAAGTATAAAATCCTTCAATAAGGTAGAAAACAGAGTGAATGTCCTCAAGAGAATTTATTTCCACTTTGATACAGTGTTTTATCATCTCAGGGAGTCACTTCTCTTGGTAAACCATATACAGATAAAATAATTTCAAAATATATTCACACTAAAAAAAAAAAAGAAAAAGAAAAGAAAGAAATATATATATATATATATATATTATTCCCACAGAAGAGCTAAGAATATAAAAATTAATCAAAAGCATAAGTAAAATGCCTCCTGCCCTAACAAGAATCACTTCTGCTTAATTCCACCTATAATGCTCATTACATGAAACATCCTTCTACTGATACTTACAATAGATCTCAGATCCCAATCAAGTCTCATGTCCCTGGCATTTGGTGTCACTACTTCCCTTCTTTATAAGTGGATTCACTGAGTTACCCCGAGGGTCTAGCAGACGAGTCTCCACCTTCATTGACACAGGAGAGCGAGATAATTCAACTGTGATGATGCTGAAGATTTCCACGATTTGCAGGAATCCAAATGGTATATTATCTGTTGGGAGCCACTCAATCTCCTGTGCAATGACCTTATCATCCTCTGTTTTACACATCACGCTGGCTGGAAATGGCAAATTCTGCAGAAAATGAAGTGTATTAACACTAAAAATTTCTCTTATTATCCTGAATTAACTTGGGTTGGAAATTTTTCTTCAAATACATTCTCCCACAATAACCCATACCAGTCAGAATTTTGCACCAACAAATTATTATCCCAATTTCTTTTATTCCAATAATTTGAGCTACCTATCACCAGATGGAACTAGTGTTCAGTAGTTCACTGACAGACTTCTGCAGATTTCTTTTATACTTATTTGTATTTATTCTACTTTGACTCTGCCAAGTCTTTGCACATTGTTATGATTTCATATGTGATAAACAGTGTGTACAGTACTGGCTTGTTTTTATATTTAAACTACTGTTAATACCACCACTACTAATACTACCACCACACCAACAATAACAATAATACCAACACCAGTATTTTGTGACAGTCTGTGATAATGGAACATGAAAGTGACTCATAACAGTTATAATGGTGAAGTAGAAGCTGTTGATAAGTCCAGTGATACTTCTACTTCAGAAGTATAAATGAGAGATTCAGACAGCACTTAACATCTAAGCAGAGACCGCGATAGTTCTCGGGGCAATAATTAAGCTGTTTATATGCATAATTTCACATGTTATAAAGTGCTCTGAAAAAATTACTCACTTGCATGTCTTAATGATCAAAGATCACAAAACTGAACTAAATAAAATGCTATTTTTTGCCCCAAATTTAGGAGAAAAAATTAGTCTGGAAAGTGGTATTACCCTTGGAGCCCAAACTTACAGCCATACTAAAAATATTAGTTTGAAAATGACTGCCCAAACACCCAAACCACGCAGCTGATATTAATGAATCCAGTCCACACCATCACTCCCAATGTCTTTAAGAATCATTTTAATATTGTCCTCCAATTCATGGCTAGTTCTCTCCTCTTCAGATATTCCAATTAAAATGGATTTCTTGTCTCTCTCATGCATACTATATGTCAAATTATTGTGTTGGTTTTCCATTTCTTAAGTAATGCCAATGAATCTGGCCAAATCAAATGCCCTTTGTAACATTTTATAAAATTTTAGACTTTTACGGTGAGGTTTGTTAGAACCCAGCTAACTCAGAAGTTGGAAGACCATCCCTTGTCAGCTGTCCGTAACTGCTTAGTAAACATATTCACTGCTAGCCTCTGTACATGGAGACTGTCTTCTCTTGCACCATGCAGTGGTGACAATGGACCCATTTAATGTGGACTAATTTAGCACACATACAAAAATAAAAGGAGTGTCCAGAAGTGCAACTTACAATTTTTGTCCATCAGTTGAACATTTTTAATCATATCTTATGAGAAAGAGAAGCTACTTTTACCTACCACCTCAATAATATGTACTGATGCTACAAGAATCAGTAACAAACATTTAAACCATTTTGTGAAAGTCACTTCATATAAAATAACTTTAATTAATACATCTTATGGTTAATATTCACAATCAACAGTACAGACAGAAGTACGCATAAAAGAGGTTAAACTGAAGATTCCAAGACGGCCATGCAGAAGAATGACACAGAAGAATTCTCTGTACTGTATTTGTGGGTTACTCACATTTGTGTAGATCCTTTGGACCTGTCCAGTGCTGCAAACAATGATATCAAATGATTGATCTTTCACATCCATCACCACTGCCTCTTCAACCATTGGACCATGCAGACCAATATATACTGTGAGGTACAGCTCAATGCTCTGCTCCTCAGCGTGCTTTACCTGACATTTCTTCTTGTTACAGCAAGCCGCAATACTGCAAGGGAATTATATCATGGGATAAATAAATACACTAATTTGACTCAACAGTGCAGGGTCCTTCTTAAAATACTGATAGCTGCTCATATGGCCAAGAAATTCCTTGTTTACAAAGGTCCATTACCATATTCACAAAAACATGCCATTCAAACTATTCCTAAGCCAGTTGAATCCAGTCCACATACATTCTATTTTTCTAATACCCATCATATTCAAAGCTGTCCTTATAATACAGGATGATTCAAAAAGGACTTTACAACTTTGAAAGTGTATAGAAATTTGTTCAGAAGGCTTACAGAATCGGTTGAGGTGTCATTTTGTAGCAAAACAAATCAAGTTTTACCTCAAACAGTCATTTTGGTTCGATGTGATTGGTGATAATGATACTGCAGACATCCCACCTGAAATCAATTTCTTGCCAAACACGATCCAGCATATCCGGTGTCACTTCTGCAACTGCGGCGGTGATTCAAGCTTTGAGCTCAGTGAGATTGGCAGGTAAGGGTGGAACATACACACGATCTTTAAT